GCAAAACTCCACAACATCCAAAACTCATTATTGCTTCATCCATCACTGGTCATAACATCCAAAACAACACATCAACAGTCCATCACACAGGTGAATATGTCTCTGCCTGAGGGACTCACAACCACTTTAGGATCCCACAATTACAGATTTGTTTAGTATTATATAGGAAATATATTATACAAAAACTGAAATGTGTTGTTTAAAGGTTCTCTAAGCGATCCTGGGTGTCGACGTCACTTCTTGTTGACGTTCGAACTATTGTCAAACAAAACGGAGGCTAGCTAGACCCTCCCTCCTCCTCATCCGCACACTAACCCCCCAAACCACACCCCCAAACCCGTCATTGGCTGGAACAGTTTGTTATGTTTTGGGGAGCGGGTCGCTGCAGTTTGTTTTTGGTGCTGTTTGTGAAGCATGGGCTGTCTACAGAGATCGCGTTTCTTTACAGTGTGTTCAGGGGACAGGCAGCCAGTGGATAGTGAGGAGATCTTTGCTGTATGTGACAAAAAATGTTTTGGCCTAAAAAACGCGTGACATCGCTTAGAGCACCTTTAATGTAATTGTTTTGTATATAGTGTGTAAAGTATAGTACATATGTGATGTATGTATATAATGTCAGAGCGCGTCACATGACAATTCTGAACGAATCATGTTGTCAGAAATTGGCATCAGCTAATGAGATTGCGCATTTCGAATTAAATCGCCCATTTTACATGATTGGTTGCTGATAAACAGGAAATGACCATATTTGGATCCGACAGCATTGCAAAGGAGAGAGAGAGCTTTCTAACCATAGACAGTAAAATAAATGGACACAGCGACCCCATAGACTTCAACGGAGAAAAGTGAAGTCAATTAGAAGCACTCACTTCCTGATGGCCGAGCGACTGCGCAGGCTCACACTGAGCTTGATGACGTAGATGTGATGTGAGAAACCTGTCTGACAGCTGTACGTCTTCTAGTAGCGGTGCCAAGAGGAATCTGAATCATTCCCTTCCGAATCTTGCAGAGCCGGAGATCGTGAGTATTAGCTGTCCATGAGCTCGCAGCAGGAGCAACTTCACAACTCTCTCCCTTGACTTTATGCCTCCACGCCCCCCCGATTGCCTGTGAGCTTCTCCTCCTGTCTATACGGTAATTTCTGTACTGTGCGACAGTGTTATGACGCAATCGTTAGCCTATTTTCACAAAAACTGCTTCTACGGGACCATAACGTAAGATACAAGGTAATAGAGCCTTTTATACATTGTCGTGTTTCTTTAGAAATAAACAATGGACAAATGGACTCTTTAAACGCCTCAGATGGAAAGTTATTCGCTGTCAAAGTGACGCCAAAATGAATGGGAGTCAATGGAATGCTAACAGCAGGTGAAGGCTTGTTAGCCAATGGCGGCCCCCGGGGAGACTTCAGTTTCCGGCTGGTGATTACGCCCTTGTTTCTAACGGCATATGTGATGACAGGGTGCAGACGTGATCGCGGAGCAGCGGGAGGATTTAGATCGCCAACTTTTGATGAATTTAGGCGAAATCTACACACGCAAACAGACAAAGTGTAGTAAAATAAAGACCTAAATGTGTACTTTGGACTTTTTTTCAGCACAAGTCTGAAAGAAGACATGTTATTGAAGACAAATAGCCCAAAATCTCAAAATTGACCACTGAAAAAAAAAACTATATTTTTGCCTGCCGTGTCTCGCCTTAAAGCTGCAGTAGGGAGTTTTGAAAAAACGTTGACTTAGCCTGAAAATTTGAACAAGCACAACTTACAGGTCCCACCCCCTTGCTCTCTGCTGCGCTACAGCCCTCCCTCCACAGCTCGTCCTCCACAGCGGAGCCTGCCGTGAACGCGCAGGCTAGTAAACAGGGCCACAGATAACAGCGGATAAAAAGTTATATAATGGCACATTCACTAATAGGGACTAAACCAACAATATGCTTTACATTGACTATGGCCTGCCCATACTTTGACTACAAACTTGGTCCTCAAATCATTATGTATTTTGCAATAGCCTACATGTAACTTTATAACGTTGCACTCTTTCTATAAGTTATAAATAGCTAGTAAGATAACGGTAATATAACGGTAACTAACGTTACAGTATGTAAGTAATTATTCTAGCGATATATAATGCTAGATAAGGTGTGCTAGTACATTATTTCAGCAACATGACAAGCCAGTGAATTAGCAGGTTTCAATTGTTGCTTAGCAGAGTGCTTGACATTTTATCTACATATGCGGCTAGAGTTTTGACACCGAATCAATGGGCTCTGTGTAATTCTTTCTTTTTCGCTTGTTTATCGTCATCAGTCTTTTTCCTTTTACCTCTTTGTTTTATAAGCACGTGCCACTCGAGAATTGGCAGTTTAGGTTGTTTCTCCGTCATAAGCACAGCTGCAGCACGCCGGCAATCTTGAGTTTGAACGACGGTACGCTCAGTGCAAGAGAGGGGTGTGATCAGCGTGTACACGAGCGTGATTGACACTACTAAGACATTCCTCCTGGCTCTGATTGGTTGTTTCCAGTGGTGGAGGAAGTAGCTACTGCATCTCAGTACTTAAGTAAAAGTACAAATAACTAGAGACATATTTACTTTAGTGAAAGTAGAAGTACCACAATGACAACCCTACTTAAGTAAAAAGTAAAAAGTACCTGATTTTAAATGTACTTTAAGTATTACAAGTAAAAGTACTTGCATAACAATTTATTCTCTTAATGTCTATATTCTAATGATCAATACAACAGTTAATCCTAACTCATTCAACCTAATAATCCTATAATGATGTTCAATAATGATGAAAAAGCTGTTATTTTTTAAGATTTTGTCACCATTTCTGAACAAGCTTGCAATTAGGCAATATACACATCAAGCTTAATTTGACGGGGTTTGGCTGTAAACGCGATTAATTTATGGCGTAATTCTGAACCTCTTGGCTTGCCATACTAATACTAACCAAACGTATAATAGGCTACACACGCAACCCACACCACTACTAAACCTACCCATGCGTATCCTATGCACGTAAAAACAAATTTCCGCGTATAAATTGCACGATAAACACACTGCGTGCTATAGAGACACATTTAGTGTGACCGGGTTGATATGGCAACCAAACTTCACTGGTGAGACAAACGTGCGACGAACGGACGGTCAGGATGATTTTTTGGGAGGGGGAAAACTGATCAGAAAATGTAACGAAAATGTAACAGAACGTTGTAGAAATGTAGTTGAGTAGAAAGTTTAATAATTGCTGCAAAATGTAACGAAGTAAAAGTAATGAGTATGCACTATTGATTCTACTTAAGTAAAGTAAAGATATGTGAAAAATGTACTTAAGTAAAGTAACAAAGTATTTGTACTTCGTTACATTCCACCACTGGTTGTTTCTGACCGGGAGCGTGTATTTCTGCAAATGGCAATAGGACCACTGGGAAGAGCCAGAAGAGCTTGATTTTTTTTCACAGATTATCTGTCTCATATTCTACTGTCAGGACATAATGATAGTTTTAACAATTTATGTAAAAAATATTTTTTACAAAAGTTACCTACAGCAGCTTTAAAGGTGAACTAAGTAACTTTTTTACCTTAACCGAACAGCTTTGGAGTCATTGTAATGTTTATATTACTGATTTCGTGTTGAATGGTGGTCGTCTCGCACCCCCCTGGTGCCTGTGAGCCGCAAAACCACCCTTGCAACTTTGGGCCGGCGGGCCGCCGACCTCAGTGTTAGGAGGTGTCGCGTGATATCAGGTCTCGCGAGGTAACGAATTGCTTTACGGCAAAAAACAGATCTGATAAAATTCTGATAAAATGAGCATCAAACAGAAATAACCCGGCGCCGTATACATGTGGTGTTCGAGGCGCACATGGTAGGGCGCGCGCAGCTCTTAAAGGGGCCATACCTTATTTCCACTCGTTACAGCGTCCATCCTACTGAACAGGTACCGGTGTACAGGGGGAGGGGATCCGGCCGTGAGTGCGAGCCATCTCTGCGTGAGTGCTATTCACGACAGTACAAGTACCCCACAGCGACTCTAGGGGTCGCTGTTTGACAAAAACGGAATTCCTACTTAGTGCTGCTTTAAAGCATGAAAACACCATAATATGTTTGCAGATATTTAGGAAACATGCTGAGTTCACATACTCGTTTCTCCGAAAAACAGCTCTACAGCCAGTTATTTTACTTTGAAATGTGCGTTCGGTGTCGGAATGTCTGTTTTTGTTTTGGTCTGTGCGATACCGCCCACTGCCAGTTCACCCAATAGTATTTCGACACCATGGGATGCCAGTGGGTCAGAGATTGCAGATTCTACCCAACCTAAAAAGCCTCGGTATCCATCTTAAAATCTCTATGAACAAGAGCATATTGAAACGCAGATAAACTCATCAACTTACAGTGTCTTCGGCTTTCATTGTATATTGCGCTCGTTCCTGTTGCGTGTCCTCAAACTGGAAACCCGCGTGAGCGTCGAGTCTGAGGAGGAGGGGGCGGGGAAACAGCGGTCTCCGATATTTTGGATTTGGACTGCAGTACCTATTTCGACCACTAGCTGTCATCTTACAGACTGCACCTTTAATCTTGTTTGCTTGCATGCCCAGAGACAAAAATTGCACAATGGAAATATTCAGAAAATATTTTCAGAATTAAGACTTCTGTATTTTACATTTACAGAAACATCGATTTTTTTGGGAGGTTTATTGAGGTTGTTGCACATTCAGAAAATACCTGCTAATACATCTGAATTGTCATTACTTTTTTTTAAAAGGTTCCAATCAGAACCAAACATAAATCTGTAGAAAGAAAAAATTTTTTAGCAGGCTTTGACACTGAACTTTTGTATATGTGTTTTAAATCCAGGAACCAAAAGAATGATGAACCCATAATGAAGCATCAATAATTATTATTTTTTAATATTTAAAGAAACTCTAATCGAAAATGGTTCTCCACTATTGAATTTATTTTTTAAGAGTGAAGGAACCTTCATTTAAAACCACAAAAAGAGTTTCATGCATGGGAAATTTAAGAGATCCAGAATTTAACAGAGATGCAATAACAACCCAACTAGGACTGTAGTCTGTCCAGAATATCTGTGAGTCTAAACATTCAGGTAGTCATTTTTCAGTCGGCTTAACCTCGACCCATGACTCCGAATGATCAGAGAGATAAGTTCATGTTTATCCTTGAGTCCGGAGGAGATGTCCAGAGTTTCCTGCAGGGTGTCCCTCACACTATACATGGGGTTGATAAAGTTATTGGTGAACTCATGTTCCTCTCTTTGCTCCGTCTCCTGGCTTTGCTTGAATTTTGTCTCCAACTCCAGAAGAGATTTCTCCACGTTTGTAAATGCATCACTGATTTGCACAATCTCCCTCTTCAGGTATTTCGCGTAACTGTCCTCGCCGTCCAGGTCGTAGGAAATGCTCTTCCCAAGGCTCTCCAGAACGCGCGCTGCGTCTTCAATCTGTTGTTTAATGATGATAAAATCCTCTCGAATGAGCGAGTCCTGGTCTTCCTCCAGTGGACATGGTCTGCGGTCGATCCATTTGAAAAGCATCTGGCATTTCTCCGGGTCTTCGGTCTCCTCGTAATCACCGTCGGGGACGAAGAAGTGGTGAAAAGTCCCGTTGGACATTTCAGGGAGCAAAGGTCCCGTGTAGACCGTACCGCAGAGCGGCAATAAAAACAGACCAAGTGTGAAGGCTAACATGATAGATAGCTTCTGTCCCCTCCGAAGGTCTGCCTGACCTGACAGAGACGATGTCCACATCTGGAGTTCCTCATATGAGTATGCGCACTAGAGGAGACGCTCATGGCTGTAATCTGAGTCCAACGCGCTTTTACGCGCTCT